TCTATGCATTTAGAAAAATAAAATGTTTCATGAAGTACTGGTATATGTGCATAAATCATGTTTAACTTTTGAAACAGAAAAATAAACAGTAATCAATCATAAAAATGGTATTCAGTGCTTTCTTGTAATACATTACGTAACTACTTAAAATATGTCAGAAGGAACAGTCATAATATTATTATGGTATTCAACAGTTATTGGACAAGAATCCCGCTAATGTCACCTCCAGCTGCCTTGATAAATTTGCGTGCACTTGCATGAACAAGGACATGAGAAAGACAGAAAGAAGGGCTTCCCTCTGGTATTTTCCTATCATATTCCAAGAAATTTGTGCCTAAATGAAAGCAAACACTCGCAAAAGTGCAACTGTCTAATACCTTATGAATACGGATCATTTTTTGGGAATTTTCAAATCCTTCAAAGTATTAAACATACTAAGGCCAACAAGTTTACTACGACTATCTAAAGTAGTTGTGCGTCGGTGTTATAGTGGTTAGGACGCTTGCTCGACCATGCACATGGTCCGGGGTTCGATCCCCGGCAGCCAACGCACTCCTTTACCTCGCTAAGCCAGAAATAATGCTGGTGAAGAGGAAAGGTTTGGCATGAGGCTAGCAACCTCATCCTGTAAAATAAACACTGCTCCAGAAACTTCAAGCCACTAGCTTGAAGCCCTATGTTCCACTGAAGAACGTGAAGGGAAAAAAATCTAAAGCAGTCGAATCTAACGTTTCAAATCAAACTTGGGCATACAGAAAGAGAGTATAAACTATCTCTCACTCCTTTGGTTACTGCATTTCAATTACATTGAGTAGTCATCCATATTAGTGATTTCATCTCACTAAGCAAGTTTTCATTCTTAAGAACTATAACTTTCTTGAGTTGATATGTGAACTTATAAGCTAACATTGTTGATTAGATTTCTGTGTTTTCCGTCTTCTTCCCCCATCCTTTCCTACTTTGAAAGCATATATAGCGATGTTAACTTGAACCAATAATTGTAATGCTTATATTTCTCATGTGTTTATTTTATACTGTTTCCTCCATAGTATTCAAACATTGAAGTAGCCTAGTGTCATTTTTACGACTATTGTAATTTCAGGTAGTCTGCAGATGATGAGAGCCTTTGAAATATAATGATATCATTTTATACTGCAAATCAGGTCTTCCCTCCTCTATGGAAATTTATCATGGGAACTAAGTGTATTTAACAGTTACTGAACAGCATAAATATTATCAAGCTGTGAAGAAAATGCTCACGGAGTACATTCAGTTTATGAAATGAAAGTGTTTTATATTCAGAATTATATCATTATACATTGTAATTAGTGATGTGAATGTCTCAGGCAACCAAGTGTGTCGAAAAATTATTGAACGACTTGTAGTTACATTCAGTGACTCACGAGTGAGAACTGTCGATTTACCTATAATATACCACATTTCATATTTTTGCTTGGCAGTTCACAATATTTTGCTGGGTTTCTCTGCTGTTTAGACAGAAAGCAAACATCTGTTGGCAGAATATGAGTAATTCTCATAAATTCCACACGATTGGATATACAAAAAAGCTGATTAATCTACTCTGTGAAATGATCTGCAATGACAGATTCTGATTTCCTTGATTAGTAACATAAGCTAAATTTGTAAATGACATTAATCAATCATGCAAAGAAACAATTACTCACTTGAATCATTAGTTAATCAAATAATAATGTTTGTAACAGTGATGCAATGAATTTAATAATTCTAAAATTTCTACTCTAGTTATTCATGCCTATAATGAAGTCATTCTTTAAGTTATAGCTTGGTTTCACGAAACTATAAATCATATGAATTTTAAAATATGCGGATATATGCATTTAACCTTCATGTATCAATTAAACAAAGTGTACTAAGGTATATTAGTAATCGTAAAGAACAGGTTTTGTAGTGTCTTCAACAAGACTCATCATCCCATGTATACCCCCTGCTTACTTGCATAGTAATTGTTCACAGAACATCTATACATTGAGTTCATTATAGAATAAATTATTAAAAGAAACTCACACGGTCATTTAACGCTATTTGAGAATGCTTTAAATCGATTGTGGCGACCAACTTAAAGAAATGTTTAATTAGTCTTCCAATCGTTTAATAGGAAATGCTTGATTTATTGTACTGTGTACAATATGCAAGTTCACTAATTTAAAATAAACAGTTGGTTAAAAAGAATGAGTTAATTTTGAGGAAATTCTCAAGACCTTATCATTGTTCAGTAGTTGTTATTAAGAGGGAGATGTGAGAATAAAGAACTCAAAGAATATCACTTGATTTCAACATAAATCAGCTAAAACTATAGTGATAATAACCAATAAAATGTACTGTGATAAAAGCTGTTCAATCCGTGTTTGAACTAGAATGATGATGCTTGATGTGAGACACACGACTGAGTCTTTAAACCTACTAGACAGCTTGATAACTAACTCACAATATAACACTATTTCTACAGTGATAAAAATGCTGTAAATGTTTTTATTTCCAGTTGATATATGAAGTGAAACTATTGGGGATTAAAGTGTGTACCTACAAGCATAAATACCATTTTGATATTGATTAGACTAGATGAATAAGCAGTTAGCACAAGGAAAGACAGATAGTGATGACAGAGGAAACTGCTCTAGTCGCTTGGTTTGTTCTTTGAAGTTGATTAAAGCCCTAATAAACAGCTTGACCTTGAAGTTTACTACAAGAAACTTTTCCCCGACAACCTAAATGTCTTTCTGATGTCTTACCACCAAAGAAATTTTTAAATTTTACTTCAGTCTCTCAATTTCGTAAACATATCTCGCTGTCTATCGGAGACAACTCACTTTGCATCCAAGTATTGGTTTTTAGGGATTTGGCTGATCGGTTACAGGATTTCATCATGAGCTTACATCGGTTAGACAACCAGTGGAAAACATGGGAGATTATCATTAGCGACTAGCTCTATTCAGGTAGGTAGTTACCTGGGGCTCTAGTGGGAAGTGGTGACCAGAAGGGTGCAGCAGGTCGGGTGTGAGGACAAATACTCGCCGAAGACAGTGGCTATCAGTCGCGTTATGTCGTAAATTGACAGAAGTTTGAATTCATGGACTGGCCGTTGGATCGGATCCCAGTGGCTTAATGGTCTACAGGCTCGCCTTGTAACCGGGAGGTTCTGGGTTCGAACCCTGGTGTTGGATGCGTATTGTCGAAGAGTTCCAAACTAGCACACAGCCGCTGTCCAGTATTCCCAGGTTTTCCAGTAGTTCTCTAGCCATTGTCAGCTCATAATGAAATCCTGTAGCCAATCATTTTGCATTGTTGAGATTAGTGGACAACAAAGCTTAGTGATAAGTAAATTGAACACCATCTGCATCAGGTAGTCATAATGAGCGAATTGTGATTCTGGCTGGAGAGGTCATCAGCATTTATTACTGTCTGGATGATGCTTATGTTACTTTCACAATAAAACTATATATATAGATGCAAAGTATGTTTGCTGGTAGTTAGTCTTCTAAAAGGGGACATTCCTAAGGAAGCTACTCATATTCAGACTAAAAGTAACTGCTACATTTTTCATCTACGCAGTACTCAGACTCCTGTTACGATGCTTACACACCTAAGAAAGGCTTTCTTTTCAAAGTGAACAAGACAGAATGGAAATAAAAACAATTCAGTAGTGGTACTTTTATATTTAAGAAATCATTGTGAACACGGAATGGCTTTCAGTACATTATTTATACAATGAACAATAACAAATTACTTCAAGCTTATATAAACAGAACTGAGTTACGTAATGAAAGAACTGTATTTTATCCTAGAAATACATTGAAAAAAAAAACAGTTCTAACTTGTAGGCGTTTTTTATTGGATATCAGTCCTCCTTTACAATAAAGTGAAATGCCTCAGCTTGAACTGTGAACTGAAAAAGATATGAGACTGAAGGTTCTAGTGATCTCATAGTGAGAATAACAATCATACAGAATGAAACAAATATATCTAATAAATGCGTTGAAATCACATTATGCCTACAGTTTTAACTCCCCATCTCATAAAGGTTGACAAATCCTCAGAAAAAGATCAACTGTAGTACAGTCAAGTTACAAATGTCATCTCTACGCAGATGAAGATATTATTCACAAAAGAGGATTTGTTAAATAATTCACGTTTCAGTATTATCAGTCTAATGCAGCCTTTTATAATGTGATTTATATACCTGCCTAGCACCCAAGGAAAACGGATTCTATTGCAAAGGGAAATCAGGCTGTGCTTTGAGCAGTTTACTGGAAGATTCTCTAACCCACCCCTAAACACAGTGGTTGTAAATATCTCCTTTAGATAAACAAGAATTAGGGCAATCATTTAACTGATCGCTTCATTTATTGTGTTGCTATGATCTGTCTAACCTGTCAACACATACCGTACAGTTTTTTTATTTCAAACGTCAACTAACTATATACGCTTGAAAAAAATTGGTTGTGTTTTGAATGCAATTATTTTGAAAGTTTTTATGAAATTGCAACTGTTGTGTGCGCTAGTTATTAATAGATATAAGTAGTTTTTCAGTAGTGCCGTTGATAATTTGCGTGTCAGTAGAAAAGCTACTGAAAAGGGAGTTCGGAAAATACATACTTATTATGTAATAGATGATACTATTAGCAAACTTTGAAATCAATGTCAGCTTTATAATTCCCTTAATTTCCATTCCAGTTTTTCTTGATAAACACTATCTGATCCTGTCAGTGTTACTTCTCTTCATGTTCATTTAAATCCTGTGAATATATATGTGAATTTAACTTAAAGCTGTTGAATCGATCTTGGAATTAGCTTACGACAAGAAGAAGTACAGTGTATTGCATATGCAAGGCAGTAGTGTCTAAGTAATACTAGTGAAATCACTACTCGAGTCTTGGAGTAAATAAGTTAGTACAATAATCATAATAATAATAATAACGGTTCTCAAACACGATTTAAAAAGGCATCAACTCGTAACATACCATGAAAATGTGGCTCATAGTTATCATCGATATCAGGTGTCCCTTTCAGAAGTATCCGTGAATTAAACTAAAAATATAGAAAAAGAAACATTTAAAAACCAATAAAATATTTTTCCCAAATTTTGACAACAATTTTATGTCAGTAGAACAGAAATCACTATCGTATTTTTCGTGATGAGATGATATTCAAAGTTAATTGTAAACTGCCTAATGTTTATGGTGGCATTGTGATGAGTGAATTTCATTGTCAGCATTTACATAAGTGTTCATGTGAGTTTTTATGAATGAAGATGTAACGGCTATCGCTAAAACCCTGGGTATTCTGTGTATTAAACCATTATTTCAATTAAACGACAATAGATATAGTCACTCACCTATTGATTTCTTCTTTACAGTTTAAGTTGTAGTTTTGAGTGTAACCTAATTCTCAGATTATTTGTGAATGTGGATCACACTTGAACGATCAGTGGTAACGCTGATTATAGTGATTAGTCATAGAGATGTCACCAGTATTGTGTGAATTTTATCAACTGGGTCTACAGTTTGATCGCTCAGCTTAGTAAGTCTGAAAGACGGTGCGCTTTTAAATGGTATTTAACGGTTTGAAACAATCACTATCCGAAAACCACTGTAGTAATAAATTACGAGTTCGAATCTCAAAGGGGACATCAGTTTTTTTTCAACGTTTCACAATACCCTTGCTTATGGGTGTTCATAAGCACAGTGTCTAGTTCCAAGGCTTCCTTAACAGTAAAAATAATATCAGCACAGAACTAAAACTGTACGTTACTATGTGGTATCATATCAAAAGCCAGGAATAAAATGCACCTAGCGTAGTCAGATCAAAAGGTAACTTGAAAACGGTGACCCCTGACTTTCCGTTGAATTCTCAAGTTATCAGGAGACATTACATTTTGTAATAAAACTAGCTGACAGAATATCATGGTAAGGAAATTTATGACATTACAAAAGTCCTACTCTCTTATATGAATGAAAACTGAGTTCTTTGCCCATGTCTGTATTGCATACACTTCTCCTTTTATTCTGAGTAATATTATATTATTTAAACAAGTAGTAAGGGAAAGTATGGGTTCTTCGACTTTATTCCTAATTTTAGAAAAGTTAATTTATCAACAACCACTTATATCAGTAGTATAATATTGAATAAAAAATTATATATGTATTATTATCCAATAGATAATACTTAATCAGTGACAAACATAGCGATAAGATGAGTTAATATACACTCAGTGAATTCCTTCGACTCGGAAAACAATGCCGGTAAAAAAATTAAACTGAGTATAATTAAAACGTCAAACTAAAGTCTTTTATTTTATAATGAAAAAATGGGGGTGGAAGGGGGGCGAAATCCCTGGAACATTCTGACAGTTGAAATGACAAAAGCATTTAAAAATTACCAACTATATTATTTAGATTACATAGCTTCCAGTATCAGCCTTTTTGAAGCCTGTAGAATAGATCGATAACCTGAGGTTGTAGGTAGTTTACTGTTATTGTATTGAAAGTAGACAAAATTTTAGTCTAAGCTAGTGATAAATACTGCTTAGAATTATAAACTTTTGTGTGATATAACAATGCGCTACAATGTCTACAAGTTAGCTAGAAGAAATGCTTGAAGGCGATCGGTTAACTATTAACATAGTTCCTGCTAATATAAGCGTATTATGAATGAAGATTAAACTACACCTACGAATTATGAACTCTCGTTGATAAAACAGTCACCAGTTTTGATTCTAAATGAATGAATTCGCCGAAAAGAGACTCTTCGCTGAACTACTTTGTTCTTATTTCGATTCTAAATGTCTCCGGCAAACTAATTTCAAACAATAGCGACCTTATATGTCAATGATAGTAGAATAAAAGGCTTATAGAGTGAACTAAATTTTTATTTTTTATCATTTTATTCTTTCACGTTCCTAATGGAACATAGAGCTTCAAGCTAGAGCTTTGAAGTTTCGGTAGAAGTGGTGTTTATTTTTACGGGATGGGGTTACTAGCTCCCCATGCCCAACCTTTCCTCTTTACTAGTCGTATTACCAACTTAGCGAGGTAATGGAGTAAGCCATCCGGCAATCAAACCCTGAACCACATACGTGGTTGACGAGCATTCTATAGCTGTGCCACCAACTCACGAACTTTATTTACTACAACCATTACCATAAGAAACTCAACATCTTATGAAAGCTTCTTTTTTGTTTAGGCTACTTAGTCAGTAAATTTTATCAAAACTACCATTTGAAGTAATGCTCTTTTTCTGGCATCTGTTCACAGGGAATTTTTAAGAAGAGAAAGTAAAATGTCAGAATTCAAGTTTATTTCAAATAATGAATGTATATTTTACAAAAACGTTTAGCTAGGCGGTGAACTTGAATTTTCAAAACCAACTGTTAAAATAAATGTGTCTATTTAAAAGTGTAATCTCTAAATGGAATCAATGCAATTGACGTTACATACTGTGAGTGCAATCTAGTTAATTCTGTTTCATTCAGATCTGATCAGTGATCAGGCTTTTTTTCGGATCGTATTTATTCTTATGTTTTATCCTCATGACACACCAAACTCTCTTCTAACTGAGAAGAATCCTCTTAAAGTAATCCCTACATATTTCTACATACCCTGAATTACTCGATGACTGAAGTGATTCAGGATGCTACGAAAAATTGATGTACTTGATCTATGTGTGACAACGGAGTGCTAATGTTCACTTTGTTGAATGTATAGAAATATTCTTTGACTACAAGCTACGATTTATACTAATTCTCTCGTTGTATACCTCAAGCATATGTATCTCATCCGACAAAGAGAACATAGTAAGAAAACGTAGCTATTTATTAATATTATTTTTTTAAACTGTGTTTACCATAGCCTTTGTCTATATTGTTTATCCTTCAAGTTTAAAGACCAGTTTTCTACGCATTCCAGCTTCATTATAAAAAAAACACAATATTAATCAAACGATTCATAATCATTTTTCAAAAAATGATCCGACAATCCTTAACAGTAACCCAATGACCTAGTACTAAGTTAGAAGGAATTTTTTGCTACGGTAGATTTTTACGTGACTGTTTTACGAGTAAAATATCTTTCTTTTCTTGTTTTTACTATTTATTTCATATTAAACGACTGATATTATTAAGAAAAACGAAAAAAAAACAATGTCACGCGAAAGATGAAAATGATTCATTTAGAACTATTTACAATAATTAACTTCGTTGTACTCTTTCCAAAACATAAAACTACAAATTTCATGCGTAATCTGTCGTAATTTGTTTGTGTTGTTTTTTTAGAAAATTTCAGCTTTGAAAACTCCAGGTGATTTTCAAATTCATCATAGAAAATAAAGTAAAATAACTTTTTTAAAACTCTAATGAATTTCCATTTTTTTGACTGAAAAACATTGGATTAGGAAACAAAGCGCAAAGTTTCTTAATGTTAAGTTGTCATGAGGAGATCTGTGTGTGTGTATGTTTGAGAAAGGAAAGGAGGGGGAGAGTAACAACGTCATGCGTCACACAAAGTAAAGTTACGTAAATATATATTACGAATCAATTATGTAGAGACTTTTAATATGTTGGGGTAAACCACCATTGCGTTATGACTAATTACCAAAATATCACAATCTATTTGATGTGTGTTTTCGTGTTAAACTTAAGGAAACAGGTTCCTAGAAGTTTTTCATTGCATATGGTTCATGAAAGACTTTTGCCAGAACATAAATTCTCAGAACTATCTCAGTTATACCTGTGTCAACATGCAGAACAAGTCAGTTTTATGATTTTTTCGATGAGACATTGATTGAAAATAGCTATCCAGACAAATTTATCAGGAATGTAGCGACCAAAAAGAGTTGAAGAGGACTATTCACTATCCGTAAATAAGAAGCCTTTATACATATGACAGCCATTCAAGGGCGAAATAATTACGAAGTTAAGAAAATGAGTCCAAATAACTTGTAATACTGGCAAAATACAAGTCTTATTTTCTACACAACCGATGGTAATTGCTCAGTTGAAAGATGAAGTACCTAAACTGGACTAGCCACCTCCAATTGTATCTACCAAGTGAACTGTGCTTGTGTTGAAGTGATTTATACTGGCCGTTCATCTAAGAAATTGGTTTTTCATGCTCGCTCGGGAACATCTACCAGTGTGGCTAAATAAGGATGTGGTGAGAAGCATCAGTGGCGTGATGTTAGACCATGTAGTCCGAACCGGCCACAAAGGTAGCATTGAAGAATCCTTCTGCATCACCTATCGGGTACCAAATGAATTGCCGAAATCATCCAGGTACCACATACTCCAAACAGCAGATGCGATTGCGAATCGTCTGAAATAACCAGTGCTTTGTGTGGATAAAAAGCAAGTTCAGCCAGCATTTTTCAAACGTTTGAAAGAGAAATTTCTAATTAACAGCGTTGGGATGTATTCAGTCATCAAAAATATAACTGCTGTCTTGTTATTGGTCTATGGCTTGTAGTTGTCTTGAAACTGTACCATGTATGCTTTATCAGCTTGATATGTTATCTCATTTTTCATTTTATTATTTGAGAATCAATTAAACTGTTTCAGATAAAAAAAATAGTTATTGATGAAAAAATCGATATCAGATTGATGAAATAATGTTGTGCTACTTAAGTAGAATGTCTTACCTAACAAAACTCATAATATTTAAGCAACTGTTAGTAAACAGAACGAATGGCATTGAGAATAAGGCTATGTAAAATCCATTTTGAATAAAGTCCTTATTCATTTTAAATTTCAATTACCTCAGTTAGAATGAATATTGAGCACAAGTATTTAAATGTAACTTGTTGATACACACATAAAAAGAAATAAACTTTTGTTTTTTAACCCTGAATATATGTAAATGGTTAAGAAACAAGTAAGCTTGATTATGGGTTTTACAAAACAATGATTATTGACTATTTTTGTATATATACTGTATTACTTAAAATAGTAGTTTGCTTATGGTAATAAAAGCTTACCATTTATGTGAAACAAACATTCTACTCTGAAGTCTGAACTAAGAGAGTAGATAATGTAACAG